CATAAAAGCAGCGGAAAAACAATTTTCAACTATCCTTTTAATATTAAATAATAAAGTAGATTAGCCAAGGTTGTGCGCTGAAAGTGTGCTTTAATAAGAGCGAAACTCGAGTTCAGTGCTTCCTCTCTTTAGCGTAGACCAGTCAGAACATGATAGCAAGAGGCTTTCTAAACGAGAGAGGCAGGAATGTAAGTCCTATAGATCCAGCAACCATTTGCAACTTTGTTTCTGTGCTACAGGAAGTTTGGAGTCAAAATACAGCATGGTGGAATAAGATGTAATAGTCCGACGCTTCTGCTTCTCTGAGTTGGTAGTACACTCCCCAAGGATGGTATTAGTAGAAGGTATCATTGGTGTATTGGTTATAAGATAAGCAAACCTCATTCACTGATCCGCCACACCAAGTTTATCTTAATGAATCCTACCGATTGACAACTCAGGCTCGGATAAGCACAAAACACCGTTTGTTGGGAGATTTCCAGATGCAATGCAGACTATGAAAAAGGAAGACTAGGGAGTGGGTGAGAGACTGCTGTACGATAGGTCAACGCCCATCCATTTCACAAAAACTGCAACTGCTTTCTTTGGTAAAAATCAAGAGCAAGCCTTTTTGTTAATTTTCTACTTTGGTAACTTTTTAGAGTTCCTTAAGTTTCCGGTGACTGGAACTGGTGATCATCTCACTGGTCCTGCACGTTGCGCTGGCCTGTCTCATTCACTTGGCTTTCATTTCAGAGGAAGGGAGATTCCACCACGCACTCCTGGAACCCAAACTCAAATATACGTTCATTAGACTCATCTGCATGCTAATTTGGTTGTAACGTGAGACTTACTGAATATCATAAACGAGATATTCAGCTGGGATTTGGACGAGTCTCAAGTTAGAATCAAGTAAGTGTGAAGTTGAGTGTGTTTCAAAATTCCGTACAATTTGAGCTCAGGTAAAGCAGCAGTTTGAAGGAAACCTGGGAAATGCACCAGCCTGATTAGCCCCAAGGAGAGAAAAACCAGCCTTGGGGGGTCCAGGAGCTTTCATTCACTTTGTGAGTAGTGTTCCATCAAAACATTCGGTACCTCAGTGCAAAAAGCAGTTGCGCGGATGCACTTCAGTTAAGATGGCATTTTGGAACTCTGAAATAGTGTTTTCTTGAGTACAAAAATGTATTTAGGGTTAATGCGTGTCTGTTCGACAGATTCATTAGAAATATATAGCAAAACTGAGGGTGGCTCAGGCAAGTGTGGAACAAGTTGTTGGTTTGATAAACGAATTGGAAAACAGGATTCACTCTACACTTAAAGTGGATGCGTTCTACTATCTTCTGAATGTGTAGCAACTGGAAGAGGCGAGAATAATCCCAGGGACGAAGGTTCCTTTCCTGTATCTAGAAAACAGGAGAACACTGGCGAAACCAAGCATATCAGGCAAGGTCAAATTCCTTATCAATTCTTGCAACTCAGCTACGCATTTATGCCTCTTCAAATGAAACCAATGCCGCTTGTTCTTATTTCACACGAGTCGTTTGAAAGTGGATGGATTTGGTGGTACGTTAACAGCGTGGTTCAAAGTGAGGTTGCAGTCATAACAGAGCACGATCCCGGTTTAAAAGAGGTTGAAAGCTTAAATTTGCCACCAGGATTTCAAAACAGCTAAAGCGTAAACGGTATTGATCTGACAACAAGAGAGACGACTTTAGTATCACTATGAAAACCAAGTATTTGGCCAAATTTTTCGTCATCCGACCTGTGCTTTCAGGAGGCTTGATTTCCGATTATAAACTCCAGTTGGACTATTGATTCCGAAGTACAAGTGTGGATGCATAAACCTGCTGTAAAAACCAGTGTACGCTGCTCAGTTGTCTTCCGACATACAAGCATCATTCTGTACATGCAAATTATCCAACGTATTTCTCCGAATTAAAGCAATGAATTTCGGGTCTGAGGCGAAAAGTGCCTCGGGGTCGGGAAGTACCAAAAACACCCCCGCGGTAGATGGCAATAGTGGATATTTACTTACAAATCCCTGGGCTTGTTTTTGAGTAATTGGATTCAAACCTCTGTTTTATCCTTTTCTCAATATGATTTTCATGAATTAATCGAGAGTTTTGATCATCAGGTGTCCGAACCAAGCCTGGAGACCATACTCATAAGAGTTAGGATTCATTAATGGGCCAGGTGAGCCGAATTCGTCGAGCCACAATCACATTAGTGTCCAGTTCTCGGATACGCATTGCAGTAGGATAGTTTCGGATGTTGTCAATCACTTAGTGTTGCTATCTGATTTTGTCTGTCGAAGATGTCTGTCCAAATGTTGGCGAAGACGACGTCGTTAATTCCCTGCCAAAAACACATTTTTTGTTCCGCAACGCAACAAAGTAGTCCATTTCAATTATCCGTGTTAGCCTTTTTTACCAGTGAATATCATCAACTTACGTACTATTTAGCCAGTTTTATTCTTCCTGGCGAACCCTTCCGGCTCCGGATTCTGCTGATGGACACTGTTGAATAGCTTGACCATCTTAACTTGGTTTCATCCTCCACTGGTTTGAATGCCATACTTCGTAATTTTCATCGATCCCCCCGTTGACTTAACTACATCTTCTACCTAGAGCTTGCGCAAAAACCCGGCTGACAGCAGAGAAAACCCGCAGAATCTCCTTGTCACCCTGAAATGCACTACTCATAAGGTTGCTGGAAACTCCTCGACAGCCCACGACCGGTTTCGTCCTTCTCAGGGCTCATCAGGGGGGCGTAGTCCCTGAGTTTCCATCAAACTTGTGTTCTACTTGAAACCAAATTGCACGAGATTAGCGAATGTACACTCGTTTGAGAACATCACAAACGAGACATTCAGCTGAGTTCCAGGTGAGTCTTTCGAAAAACCAAATTAGTTTGCAAATGAGTGTATATTCGAAAACTTCACTTCTTCACTACTGGAAACTGAAAGAACCGTTTGGAGATTGTGCTCCTTTATCTAATCACGTAAAGTAGACAGACTGCGGAGTTTTGACAATACATCAGATATATCGCCGTTTCACACAAAATAAGCGAATGGCTTGTGAGTCTCTCGCAAAATCAAGTTAGTTTGCAAATGAGTGTATTTCGCTAACTCCTTGTCACCTCTTCGCAGCTCTCCGACGTCTCATTTCTGCTTATACGTACATAAATATCTATCCTTATTGGAGTGTCCACATTGGTGGCTCACGTCTCTTTCTGAGCTTGTATTGGGGCACAGGCTTATGACGACTGCCGTTCGAATCGGTAAAAATTACTGATCGCATGGCACGAACACCTGAGTTTACGAGATGAAGAACGGATTCGATGTTGTAAACACAATTGTTCCAGGTCAATGTGGTTTTATTGGTATTTCTGACCCCTAGCCGTGGCACCCTTCCGGTGCCTAGCTGCTATGCTACCCGAAGAAAGCACGAGGGCTGGGATGCTGCCAGGTCGCCCAAGCCTAGGCAGGGGAAGTCGAGAGGCAGAGGTCAGGTTCGAACCACGGACCTTCCGGTCAGTAAATTCGCGCTTTAACCACTTGAGCCACTCCTGAACCACTCGTGAAAATATACAAAACGTTGGATAATTATCCTACATTCCAAATATAACCAACTAATCAAAAAACACTTGACGAAGAAATCAACTTTGACGAAGTGAAAGGACGGTCAGGCTGACTTTGAGATACATACGCCTGAACGCATTTACTCCAACTTATCAGCGAGGCTGAGTTTCTCAAGGATGCCTTTCATTAAAAAAACAGTTGTGGTTACGCGGATGGATCTCGTTTGAATCCCCTTAACTGTAATTGCGTGCTATCGGACGACAAAGTCACTATGTTTGCAGACCATAATTATGCATAATTTCAGAAAACTTTGTGATCCAAGAATTTAGTTTTTGTACTCCTAATAGAGTTAGATAGCACTAACTCAAGCAAAACACTGTGCTGATTGCGGTCACATGCTGACAGATTTCATGTGTGTTGCAGGTAGTTTATTACTGCCACTGTAGGAATGTTCTGTCGTTGACAGTGCAACAAGTTTGGCTAAAGTGTAAGCCTTTTGGCGAAAAATAATCAATGACCAATTAGTAGGCAGAGGAGCCTGACTTCTACACTAATGAGGGTTCTAATTATGGCGTATCTCAACCGGTTGACTGAAGTATGCAAGTTGAACAGATAAATGAAAGTAAGTGAGCAAACAAAAAGCTGATTTTCCGATCCCTCCAGTTCATGCAGATCCTGTCAGCAACGAAGGATATCAATTCTAGTGAGCACCCGAATGAAACTGAAGGTTCATTTGGATCGCTTCTGTGAACATTTCACTGTAAAATGTCCACCATGAAAGTTTCTCTCCCCAGACGACCTAGAAGCAATGGTATAAATACATATGGGAGTACCAGTCAATCAAGGCTTGGAAACCAGGTTAGCATCACCAACTCAAAAAAACACTCTGATTCTTGGATCCAAAAATCCTTCCCCCAACAAATATATCAAACAATCTATTTAGCCACAACTCCGGCGAAGTGAAACCTTTCTCTCATTTTTGACTTTTCGTCGGTACGTCTTGGACTTAGTCTTCCCTTTTTTCTAGTTACACCATCTGATTTCCAACTGAGGGCCACGGGTGGGAGTGACGAAACCATATCAAACAATAGCCTGGAGCAGACCATACAGCGGTGTACACCATTCGTCAAAATAAAGGCACACGGGGCATCAGCTGCTGATATGGACATGGAGTGTAGGCCCCAATTTTTCTACACACGGTGGGAAGGACGTTTCTCGCCAGTCAGTGTGTTCACCACGTCAGTTCCAAAACTTGTTTTCACCGATTGTCTCTATCCTGGCAAGCAGGTACCTTCTCGTCGCGCAGGCCAGTTGAAACCCAGTATATGGTGTCTCAAAACTGAATTGAAAATATTCAAATCAGGATTTAGCTCTTAAAATTATTTGGCGTGACAACCGTGGTCGTTGCACATCTGTCGCATGATTTGTACGTGTGGTTAACTTAGCTAGCCCGCTTAGCTAGGTCTTTACTGCGGAGTTGGTGGATCAAGAGCTCAGTGGGCTTCTGGTAACGACGAATTTCGCGCAGTGCGACAGTACCGGGCCCGTACCGATGAGGCTTCTTCACACCACCAGTCGCCGGCACGCTTTTGCGAGAGGCCTTTGTTGCGAACTGCTTCCTCGGGGCCTTGCCACCAGTGGACTTCCGGGCAGTTTGCTTAGTGCGAGCCATCTGGAGATTTTCACACCGAGACGAAAAAGATGCCTCAAAAGATGCCTTTCCTAAAAGTGGACTCGCCTTTCATCATCACGAGTACACTTAAATTTCTCCAACAAAAGCTTTGGACTCCAACTCAACACAATTAAGTGTACAGACTAGATATGTGTCAACGTCACTACTTTTCATGTTCTCATAATCTATTATCCGTCTTCTCTGAGATGTTGATTATTGCCAAAAAATGACGATTATTCGTTGGAGCGAAAAAACTCAAAATCCTGACACAACAGTTGAATACAGATGGGATAAGTTCAGGTTCATGGGTTCAGTTAACCAGCACAGTCATTCAGAAGCTACATATATCGGGGTTTGCTTCAAAAGGCTGCTTGGAGGAATGCGACAGCGCCCTTTTGCCGTATAAATGTATTGGTTGTCATTCTTGAGTTCATGTGACGGTGGCTAAAAGTGCATTTAGGCAGCACGGTGAAGAAACCAACTATAAGAGTGGGCGGAGAAGACTGACTGCGTCATGTGTTTGACCTGCCTTGATATGCACCAAAGTCCGTAGCCTGGATGTATGTTTTGTCCGGTGCAGCTGAATACCAGTTGACTTTCAGTAAACAAATCACATAAGGCAGCCACTTGGAGAGTTTCCTTTGAAATGTGGAAAACTGGGGTTGTCAGTTTTGGACATCCTAGAAGTGATCTCAAAACAGCAAGGATTTAAGTAAATATAAGTATGTATAGACGACAGTCGAAAAATGCGGGATAGGAAAATAATTCCAGTTCAGAACAGATGTCTAAGGAGACCGTCTACAGCTTTCCTGGGAGTGTGTTACATACAGCCACTGGGGGTGTCTACACTGCTCTTAGAGTGGTTAGACTTTTCAGCTATTCCAATTTCGATACCCTTTAGTTTTTTGTGAATGTCTGACCGCTGGTGAGGGTTAGCCACCAGCTTAAACGTCATGGTGACACATATCTGACACTCGATACCTTTCCCTGAGTTGATCCGGTTGCAGGCTTCTTCATGTTAACTTCCAAAACGCATCATGCTTGTCACTAATTGAGTCGATCCGGTTTCCAAAACGCATCATGCTTGTCACTAATTACGCTGGTAGTTGCTACTGTTGCTGCTGGGTATGAACTTTCTTTGATCTGTCGAGCAGGTAGTGCTCCAAAAGGCGTTGGATTGCCAACTGTACACAGCCTGCTGTCTATTCTCGTTGATCTTGGATTCCTCTTATGTTGTCATCTGAAAGACTGCCGCGTATGTACTTTCTTTGATCTGTCGAACAGGTAGTGCTCCAGAATGCGTTGGATTGCCAACTGCACACAGCCTGCCGGACGAATTCATTGTCTATTCTCGTTGACCTTGGATTCCTCTTATGTTGTCATCTGAAAGTCTTTTCATCATGTCCTCTGAGAATGCCGGTAAATCCTTTTGCTCCATTCTACTTGTTATAGTATAGGGGGTTCCGTGTGCTCCAGGTTGGTCACTGGATATTCTAGGTTGCTTTTGTGTGTGCCGAGATGGCCTGCCACTGTCGGTTTTTATCACTATAAGCGGGTCGGTAAAGAGGAGGTCCGAGAAGCACTAATAGTAGTTAGCGCATGGGCTCATATAATTTGCACAGGAAGGCATCCATGGGCCTGCAGCGTGAGCTCCATTGATGTTGGAAAGTGCCGGACCAAGGCGACAAACAGGAGACGGATAGAAAAATTAAAACCACATGGTTGCGCTCCTAAGTTTCAGGCGTTTGTACTTCGGTGGCTCAAAAGTAGTGCAGCTCCTAAGGAAAAAGGCCATCATATCACAAGTATTAGTCAAACCACAGTGACTCGAAATGTGCCTACAGACCACGAGAGGTCTGGCGGAACGCCCATTTGTGTCGTTTTTCAACAGCAAGTTTACAATCACAAAGCGGTAGGTGATATACGTGAAAGAATGTACACGACAATAGGAAGAGAGAGGCTACAGTCCGGAAAAGGCAGGTTAGTTTAGTTGGTAGTAATGAATCATTGTGGAGTGTGTACCAATGTAAGAATGCTTATATCTGTCACTACAAAATCTGCATGACAGCGCAGTGCTTCTCAAACACTTTCGTAGTAGTTTTATTCATTTATGTATGACGCCAAACAGCATACTTTGGCGTTGCGTGCCTCATTCATGCAAACTTAAACTCCTGCATCTTACTGAACATGTGTTGCAATTAAATAATCTTTCGAGTGCTTCAATATACAATATATCGCTTGTGATTAATCAACAAGTGAGGGCGAATCGGTTTCCTTTTGGGAAGGATGCTTACTCGGACATGAGAACTGTTTCCTTTCTCACTGGGCCAGTGGAAGAGGAACGTGGTTAGATTTAACAGCTAGTGTTTGCTCACGTGCAGTCAGTAAGTTTTGAAATGGAAGAAACGATTCGGCAAAAATTCGGCTCTAATGGTAGAACAAACAAAACGTACTGAAATTTATTGTGGGACCACGGTCATTTACTCAGCCTTTAGGTTGCAGGAATCGATTATGATCAACCTCGACAGAAGCCACCCGTGCTGACCAGTCTTGTTGTGAAAAGTGCTTGTGCTTTTAGCCTTTCTATCAACGATACAAACACATCTAACTTTATACTGTTTGAACCCGTCTCCAGGACAGCATAACGTCAACAGGTCTTACCTAACCAATTCAAAAGTGAATCCATTTTTCCATCAAACATGGAACATAATAGCTCTTGTGCATTATCGAGTAAGAGGAGTTTCAGGATTAGTGATTCCTGCGGTAAATACATTCATACACTCGTGTCCGTTCAGCCATGTCAGAAATCATAAATGTATCGTATTCAATCAAATCATACAAGTTCATCAGCTCGCTTTGTTATCACTGCGTTCGGGGCTTCACGGACTGAATCCAAGGATCTGGTTTTGGTAGTTGGAATCTCGTTTGAGTAGTAAATTTCCCGTTCCACTTTTCTGTGAATGGTAAGGTCCACTATAAGTTCATTGTAAATAATAGAAGTACTCGATTCCTTATTCCTTTTAACACAATTCAATAGGTCGATTTGAATGCCGGAATTCTCACAGCTGACACTGTTGTAGCACGGGTTGTACTCCTTATCAGTTAGCGTGCAATTCATCTTAAAGCAATCATCTTCACACATGGTCCTGATGTGCCTTGGAAGTACTGGTTGCAGGAAACGTTTCTCCTGTGAAAATGAATGGTCGTTATTTTTTTAGACATTTTCTTTCGGAAACACGTTTTGTCTTGTGTATTACATGAGCCAGGTAAGAAATTTTGAATGTTTTACTGTTTCGTAATATCGCTGGATAGACCGATTCCTCAGAATGAACCATCCCTATTAAATCTGGTGGAAAGATCACTGGATATTGCGGTGCTTGAGGATCACCACGCATGTACTAGCGAGTGGCCCGATGATTTAGTGGAACAGGCTTTTTCTAGCACTGGTCTGAACGAGTACCTAAAAGCAGTCACACTGACTCACGATTGCCAGCATCCCTTCAGATTACTTGTGCAAACATTTATTTGGTCTAATCTGAGTGATTCAGCATCCATTTTTCAATCGGTAATTCCGTTACCAAAGGATTGGACGGGGTTGAAGCTCAGCTGGAAAATATTCTCTTCGTGTTGAAACTGAGAACTTCTATATGAAAAAAAACTTGAAAGGTTTGTGCCTACCAGTTCAAAAAATTATATCTATTCAAAACAAATTCATGGAATGTCTTGAAAACGCCATCAACAGCTACGATGAAAAACCGGACCGACACGTCTTTCTCCTCGGTTTGAGGTCAAGTCTTCAAAAATATCCTGGAAGTAAGATGATTTTTCGGTTCTCTGCAGTGCTATTTATGTCTTAGGCAAATATTCCCGCCACAATGAAGCTGCTGTTGATGGTCTTACTCTGAAGATTTTTTACATGGTCTTACAATCAACAGTTTGCATTTTTATACCTGACTTTCTCAAACACAAAGCGTTTCTCCGAGCAATCTTACCAGCTCGTCGTTTCATTCTGACTAGAAGTGCATCTGATAACATCACAGATGCTGCGCTTGTACAGTTTGGTTGGCCATCCTTTTCTACGTAACTGTAGAATGCTGGATGCTGCTTAGACAGGAAATGCTTAAACCTAAAATGAAACACTGACAGTACGATCAGTTGTTGATTGTCTGCATAAGTACTTCTTTTGTCCCGAACTTAGTGTCGTGTCTGGTCACGAACCTCTGCAATTCGTCTATCGCCCATCTCTCCCGTAGTCTCTAGTTGTAATAGTTCAGCGCGGTCATATAGCATCAGCTGTTTATAACTGCTTCGTAGAATCGATATTTGATGTTTAGAGGACTCTATGTCCATTCATTCGGCTACTTTCTCCTACCCGTCGCCAATTTCTGATAAACCAAATTTCTCAGATCCATTATGGCTTCTGTGGGATCTGGTAGAAATGTTACTGTAGAAGGTTGCCTGTCAGAAGATATTTTAGAAAGGGTGCATCAGCAGCCACGAAGAGGTTAATTATGCTTGTATGATCGAGTGTTCTTTCACCGTCATACAAGTCTGTTGTTCCCCATGGGTTGGTGTCAGAAAATGAAGTTGTCGGGCAGTCTCACTTGCTTTTGGTCAAGATTTGATGACGATATTGTACGATATGTCAGAAGGTACATACAGTGCTTACGTAAGGAGTCCACACCCTGTGCGATGCGAACTTTTTGAATAGTGGTGTGCGAGGTGTGGAGTATAATTCATGCTGAATACTGTGGGCCATTTTGAACAAATGCTGGGCTCTAGAGACCCTTGGTCTCAGCAACCCTCTGTCTCACTCCATCAGTACTGCAGATCGAAAGTTCAGAGTTCGATAAGGTGTACCGCATTTGATTATCACTGACAAGTGAACTCGTTTTAGGCGTAAAACACTACTCACAAGGTTGCTGAAAATTTTTCGACAGACCACTAACGATCTCGCCCTTTTTGGGGTTCATAAGATGGGCGCAGTTCCCGTGCCTCCCCGACTTTTGACGGCTTGAACCCACATTGCACGAAACTAGCAAATTACGCTCATTTGCGCATCAATTTGGTTTTCACGGGAGGCCCAAATGAATCTCTCACTTACGATGTTTTTCAACTGAATGTGCTGCGCAAAGCCGTCTCAAGTTTCACTTGATACGAAAAGCTAGTAACGCAATACACTGTATAGACGCGACACACTACTCATTTTACTCGCTTTGCTTTTCTGAAAGTGAAGCAATATTTGAGAATAACTGGACTTCTTCACTTGCACACTGCACGAAATATCTGCGTACAAACTTTTAAGCTGAGAATTTTCTGTTTGCTGTCAGCCTATTAATTTGTGGACATTGTAGAAAGTGAAGCGTGGGTTGGATGCTTTGCTGATACCGTATAGCAAAGCTTTCGAAGTAATTTTGAGTGAAATTGCTGAAAAGTTTTAAAGTCAAGAATTCTGGAAGTCAAATGCTCAATATTATTGCCTAATTTGATTTTTCCTTGCGCGGAATTCCGGTACAAGGTAAATTGTGGCATTAACGATACTACTTCACGCGACTCAGTGTCGATGGATGTCACCATGGCCGTTCCCAAGTTCCCTACAAAAAACGACATCATATTTTGAACTGCGATGAATATGGCGTTTGCAAGTGAACACCCTCATTGCGTGTTTATTACGAAATCTGAATCTACCAGCTAAAAATTTCATTGTGTGGTAGTACTGCCTTCTTCTGTCTGAATTCCCGTTTTTTCCTTGATAAAACCGTCTGGACGTACTCTTCTTAACAACACTATGGAAATCGTTGGCACCAGTGTCCATCTTATGTTCTGCGTAGGCATCGATAAGGACATAAGTCACCTGGGTTATGTCTTTGGATACACGTACGCTTCTGCATCACCGTCCACAGTGCGCGACGTGCAAACGTACGATCGGCTCAACGACAGCGACTCCTGTACACGTCGCAGTTGAATAAAATGTTCTCTAAAGCACGAAGAATAGATGTAGTTGACCAAAAACTCATTTTAGTTCACCAATGTCCGAGACAAACGATTATTTGTGTTGTCCAACCCGAGCACGACAGGTGCGAGCGATTCGCAGAGAACGACGCATTGAAAACTACCGCTTAGGCCCGTAGAAAGTATCGGTTACGTACGACGGAACTTTTATTCTATCAATAAGGCAACCTTTAAAAAAATCACCTGGTTGGCCCTTAATAGAGCAAACCGCCTAATGCTGATCTTTTTGGGAGTATGTTAGTTGGTGTTTAATGCAATACATTCGCGGCTAGATGATGGACATAAATTATTTAAACGGAGGATTTTTGTGTCATTTACACATCAGAATCTCGTAGCCTCGGTAATTAATAGGTCAACTAGAAGGATCGTGACGACATCTTGAATTACAGTTGACTGCTCTCAAGTAGTCCAGACAAATGCCAAAAAGGAAAGCACTTTGAACTGGATATATGGAGTGAAAGATAGAGTGGCTCAATTAAGCTAGGTGAGCCACGGATATATGAAAACCACCAAGACACGTTTGTCTCCAGCGCTTGATGAACGGACATAATTATCACTTAGTGCTTATATGAGTTTCCCTCAATTGGAAACTTCGTCAACCTCAGCCTACCGAGACAGCAATGAACTCGGACAAATGTTTTTTTTTCATGGAAATTTTAACTACAGCCTGAAAAGTTTGGAAAATGTGAGCTCGCTTCCGGTCAAATTCACTGTCCGACTTCTAAAACGCATCGGTTGTAAGACAATTCGCTGAGCCCCACAACCAGAGGGCCAGTCCAGCCACGACTGATACCGGAAAGCAAAGAATATATGGCTGCACAATCAAATTAGTCAAACTTCATCACCTCAGTGTACTGGTCAAGAATCAGAAGTCGGCAGTTAGTGTGGGCTGAACAAAACAGGATAACCCTTATTCACTGGGAAGCACAAATATAGAAGCCATAAAGCAGGTTATCTTGCTGATACATAGTCACAACAACGTTTATGTTGGTTGAAAGTAGGACCTGTGGTATGGAAAGCAAGGACAGCCAGCATGTATGTATAAAAATATTCACCTTGCTTGAGTGTGTTCGCTGGTGACATTCTGGTTTGCATTGGCGCAACGGATTAGATGCGCTTTCGATTTAATCATTCGGAAGTGGCTCCGGTTACTCTTTATGCAAGCACAAAATAGCCGGATGATCGCACCATCCTCCTTGATGACAACTGGTTCTTAGACATGGAACTACATAGTTGACAAAATTCGGATAAAATGAAAGTGGATTGCAGCATGGTGGTCAGTAATGAGGTTAGGGAAGACAACCTCGAACCCGTATGATTACGAACCCTCAGATACTCAGCTTGGGATATGGTACGTCACAAGGGTGTCGCTTCTCGTGCCACCGTTTTTTTAACTTTACCGTATGGGGCAATTGCTGCTTAGAGAATATAGTGTACAGTTATGTATACTGAACTCGGTTTATACATATACATATATATGCGCTTATATGTATATATATATATATATATACGTATATTTGTTAATATTTATACACGTATATGTCGCTCGGTTCACACTGATTTCTTTTTTCTTTAAATAGAAACACTACTCCATAAATCTCCAGGGATTATCGCGTTTCATGGTCCACTTAGATGCCACAATTTTGCAGATGCTTGGTACGATAGTCCGATTTACAAAAGGGTAGTTATAGCAAATAAGTATCCTTAAATATTCAGCTGATACTCATTCTAACGTAATTTGCAATATAGGCCAAATAAAGAGGCACCCACCCATCTATAGGTTCATCTATTTTATGTGAACAACAGAAAAAAGCTACGACTCTTGAAATTCCCTCACTGGCTCACCAAGACAGTGTACCTAAAAAAGAGCACCAGCTACTCACCAAAAGTAGCTGCTGTGATTTGTTCATCCAAAACATCCTGCCGGGTAGTACGGCGCATAACCATCAAATCAATGTTTATTGGAGTTGCTGTTGATGCCCCTGCGCGACCCATCTCTTGCATGATGCAGAGACGCAGATCTGTGTGTCACTGATTACGCCAAGAGAAGTTGACCTTTTGTGTACGAGCTTAGTTGGTGTTCGGAGTCCCACAAAGGGCAAACTCGGAAGGCCCCAGTTCCAGCGGCCTGAACAAAAGCAACACGTTTTATTATAGAAAATTTAGCAACTCAACTATGAGGGTTTAAGGTGGTGTTCGCACGACTGAAATTGGGGGAACGTTGCCTTCTGTCTCACTGTTTGTTTCTCGAATCCCTATACGAGACTTATGCTCCATTCAACTTGGAAATGTGCTAAACTGTTTTACACACTGGTAAATTATCAAACGAATCTGATGGTGCAATAATGTAAGTGAATGCGAAAGCCTCGAGAAATGAGTTGTGTTTTACTCCTTTGTTTCCTTTATCTTACTGAATGTTTCAAAACACCTTGAAGGGACATAACGAAATCAAGTGACAGTTGCCAAATTTACAGTTTCAATACAAAAAATCACTTCGCAATTGATCAAAACATGTGCCATTGTGGTTCTGCTGTGACTGGTGGCCAGAAAGATACCTAGCTGTGAAATGACTTACTTTATGACTTCGCCATTTAGGCCTCACCGGTTATCTTGTTCTGTTCCGCTTCATGACCAACGCTTGGGTGACCTTCTCCCGCATTGAGACAGTTCAGTTTGACCAGTGTGATTGTACAGTCATCTGTTTTTCTCTTCTTGGGTCCTTATGGCTTCTCCACTGTCATACAAGCGTGCCGCCTTTTGATTCTCGCCTCTTTGTTCTATTTCTCATGATGAAAACTAATCAGTGGATGCTTTGTGAGAGCTTCGGGCTTGGTTTGTTTGCTGCTGGAGTCATTATTCCTGTTTGCGGAGTTATATTTCCGGCACTTGTTGTTCATGCTATGGGATGCCTTTATCAATGAGATCCCACGCGGTTTTCATTGAGCTAATTTCGCCAATCTAAACAGGAATATCGTAATAGTCACAGTTGATGCGTCACTCTTGTGCCAACAGTACTATGGTGGAAGTACTATGGAAGTCCCGAATAACCAAATAAATCATTCGTTTCCATGCACGATCGACCGGACACAGAAATTTCGGAGTAAGTCATGTGGAGGTGACACCAAATAGGAACCAGTGGAGCAGCTGTTTGTCGGCTACATTAATGTAACTGGCAATGGCAAATAAAACCTCATCCATCTCTACAATAGTCTAAGTTACCGCACAGCAGACACTTGCTCTCTCTTCCATAATTTATGAGCGCGTCAATGCTCGTCAACACTATTAACTGTTGTTTCGTATGAGGCTCCCATAACCAACAGTAGTAAACACAATCCGGTAATCCCTATGTCAAAGTTCTCAAAGTGGGCGTTCTTAAACGGCGTTAAAATTGGTGTATTGACATCAGCCGATCCGGGCAATCACATCAGTGTCACCAAATTCTAAAACTCCCTAAAGTTCTCCTATCCAACATTTCTTGCTAAACAAAGACAATTGAACCCAGGAAAAAGAAATGTAGGTATGCTGATCAGGTGTACCCTCGTGCTCCACCCGGGAATCCAGCCAACCTTGAGACACCAAACCTTTCACTACATTGAAGCCGACGGTACATAGTGCGATGGGGAATTCGAGTCCAGAAGACTGATATCCTATCATACCGTTTGCCATTATCAAGTGTAGTCCAAATCGAGTGCTTCTATGTATTTTCCTCCCGTTTGACGTCACCAACAACCCTACCGCTGAATTAACCCATAAGAATGTTTGGTGATGACTAGACCAAGGGTGGCACCTTACCTTTAATCGGGCAACGAGGTAGCCTTCTAGCTGCCAAAAGATAAACAGCCTTTATTTACGGGAGAGAATCACCATCTGCTATCAATTCTCCGCCGTCACTGGACTAAAACGACGAGATTCAACACATTACAAGCTTCATACCTGGAATAGTTTGCAGTAGCCAACAACCAAACAAAAATAGCAGTCTTAAAGAGACATCCGCTTTCATCATGCCTCTGATGCTACAGAAATGACAGTATCCATATAACGCCTTATGTTGTCCATATGGGCTCACGTATCCATTGGGGTTAGGGACGGTAAATTGGGCAAATAAGCCGCTGCTGATCTTCTAATTATGGAATAGTCATTTTCCATGTCTTCTACCTCTAGTGTGGAGCGCAGTCCCAAAGAAGAACTTAGAGACACCGTAGTATGTGGATGACAGTGCACCTGAATCGGATTCCATCGACTTTGAAATACACCAGCTAATCTATATAATGTTGTCTTGTGCTCTGTTTAGCGCTTCGCACCTTAGAAATGCAAAGCGATATAATAAGATAGGGTGAAAGCATAATCAAAGTCGGTTATGGTATCAAAGCCATTAGAGATGGTGGATAGATTTACCCTCTGGGTGGTTATATCACTGGTCGAACTGCAGCATTGCTGACGAACTAAAGGCCAGAATCTTTAAAGTTCGTTCTGCTTTCTTCCAATCCGGATCACTGGTCGAACTGCAGCATTGCTGACGTTCTGCTTTCTTCCAATCCGAACATCTATTAGGTTGACGGAATACTAGCCCGTCTGGTAAAGACAGGGTCTGGAACGCGGCAGTGAAGACTGACCTCTTTGCACTCAACTCAAGGGACGATTGCTTGTCTTTGAAAAGCGGTCGCCGCCAATTATTTCACGAGTATCATTAGAACATGACATTAGCAAGGCTAAAGTGTGACGAAAGTTTTTTGTTAATAAATCAACTACTTGAGCTGAAGCGGCTGCACCAACTACACTGGCTGGGTGTTTACTCCGTAAGCCAGGTGACGAATTGTCTTTCCATGCCCTGTTTGCTGGAGGTTTCGACTGGAAGACACCATCAAGAGGGCCGTGCATGAAAAACTATGAATGGCTTCAGCTGCACAGGTGAAAATCACATGTGACCTTGGAATGTCACAAGCCCATCATACCAATGGCTGGAGGTAACTGCCGTCTTCAAGCCATCGACGGTGATGCTGATTCCATTCTCCTGTTCCCACTCCTTAATCCATGATTCTCTTTTATTTTGTTTTTTTAAAAACTTTTTTTCGTGTACCCCATCCTATCCTAGACTACATACTGCCTTGGGCTTCAGCAACGCAGACCACCGTACGTACGTATACGGTTCACGACTATGGATGTGGAATGAACTGCGCCACTTGTCGAGTACATGACTTGGGCAGTAGATGACTCGCAAACTGGCATAGAATTTTGTACCTGAATCTTTCACTTAAGTAGGACCCTCAGCACATACGGATGATTGGTCTCCAATCCAAATCACATTCACCGGTCAGTGGTCTTCAAGTCATTGGATTGCTAAAAAGTCCTACGTACCGATGCCAACCCGAGAGAATATGATCAACGTGCGAACATGTAGGGGTTTGTTGCAATACCTACCTGAACATCATAGCACAACAGCGAACGTATAATGCAAACGAAACGAAAGAGTCCCTAGGTTGACAGTAACCCGCGACTGAACTGTTGTCGGACAAGTACATCGTACAGGTGCGAAGCAGCTAGGCACTCATCTGTAAGTTGAGAGTTCGCGGGTTCGATTCCTGTCTAAAGATTGTAATTTTCACCCAAATTACGTTTACTTGGATCCATATTCATGCTTGTACAAATCCATGTTTCCTTTAAGCCAGTTCTTTTGTTGTTTTTAACGTTTGACCGAGCTGCTGCGGAAATCTGTCTGTTGGGTCGACTCCCAAGGTACCGTATGATTTTAAGCTACTTCCGAAGTCGACTGCTCGTCACCGGAACGTTGGGTGATATTGTATTCACCGTAGGCACATGAATAAAATAAAAATAACCAACCCTAAATTGAATGCATAAGGCGGATACGTTTTCACCTAGTTGCCCCTCTGTGGCTGTGGTGCGGCAGCCTTTCGCCTTTCAAAGCCACATTACCAATCTGCCCTACTGAAACCTCATTGACCTCGCCAATACGAAACTCCAAATAGACTAGTATGTTTATCATTCCTATCGCTTCCGCACTTGTCATTTACGCAATGTGACTTCCCGATTTCTTTCACCACCAACAACAGAATTCGTGCATCCCGTGGATACTCATCTGAAGGATCCCGGTTCAAGAAACACGCTGCAAAATTCAACCCTGATTTCGATATAACCGGAAGGAGATAAAATGCCCAAGTTCGGAGGACTCTGAAGTGCTGGTGAATTCAATTTGGCCTTTGCCTCTGCAAACCAACCTTCATGCGCAAGCGCACTGGAAAACTGGCTGTTCTGGCTTGTTGTTGACCCATCAATCGCGTCGTTTACAACAAAACAATCCCATGACAACGGACAGTTACCATTTACATTTACTCACATGCTTCTTTTGATGAATTCGCTATTCCAAGTAGTGCTGCTTCTCTAAAAATCAATACTTCCGACGACATAGCCTACTTTTAAGCACAAAAATTCACTTCAGTGGTAAAAGATGAAGGAAGATTTTGACTTATTGATCGAAGCATTTGACGGAACCTCCCTGGTATCCTCAAGTGCCGATATTATTGGAGCACAGGATGCGGCTTTTAGTGCCCTGGTCAGATAAACTACACGGCCAACTAGAGATCAAAATAAGTGTATGAATTTGAAACCTACCTGTGTCTACATACCGGTGACTGGGCGACCGCTGTGCATTTTTCCGGTTTGTGTTTACTTTTAAACTCTACTTTTCGCCCTCAGCTATACTCAACAATATCAAAAAGAGTAGTGCTGAAGCGTACATCTTTATAGCTGCAAAATTCACATAGTGATTTCAACGGAAGCATGAAATTACAAAACTCTCAATGGCAGATAATGACTGGCGTCTCAGAATCGCTTATAAATCTAAATGCAATTACAAGTTTCTTCCGCAGAGAGACGCTATTTTTTACGTCAGTTCTGCACAGGTTAATATCGTCTCACTGCTCTCACTGCAGGTGACTTCACCTTAGTTAAGCTGTCTTCGAAGGTCTGAAGGTGCCCTAACTCGACGA